GTGTTCACACTATGAGTCCAAACCATTTTATCCAGGAGTTTAATCTCTAGTTGCCTTCATTTACCCACAATAGCCTTAAAATTATCCTACTTTATAGCTGGGCAGCTTTCCATGGTATGAAAATACCATTTTTCTTATGTATTCTGCAGTTGGTGGGCAAGTCATTCTTGCTTTTTTTTTTTTTTTTTTGGTCTTATGTCACATGGAACAATTGTTTTCTCTTCTTTGATGTTCAGTCTATGAATTTCCTTTTGAGTTAAATGTGTTTCTTGTACACAGTATATTGATGGACCTTGTTTCTTGATCCACTCTCTCTGTGTTTCTTTTTATTGGTAAATTGAGGCCATGTATATTAATAGTTATAAGTGGCATGCATTGATTCCTCTCTGATCCTGCTGTTGGCCCCTCACTTTCCTGCTCTGTTCAGTGGCCTGTCCTGTTTGGCCATCCTCCTCAGCTGCAGTCCCTGGAACCATGGTCATCTTTATCTCTCTCCAGAAGATCCTTCAGCACCCTCTGTAGGGTTGGTTTGGTGGTCATGAATTCCTCTAGCTGTTCTTTATCATGGAAGTATCTTATTTTTCCATCAATTTTGAAAGTTTTGCAGGCTACATCAATCAGGGTTGGAAATTGCTTTCTTTCAGGATTTGAAACACTTCACACCAAGCTCTTCTTATTTACAGAAGCTTTGTTTCCATTTTTTGCTTCTTTTCCCATTTTTTCTTTTCCTTCCTTTCCCTTCCATTCCCTCCCCTCCCCTCCCCTGCCCTCCCCTCCCCTCCCTTCCTTTCCCTTCCCTTCCCTTCCCTTCCCTTCCCTTCCCTTCCCTTCCCTTCCCTTCCCTTCCCTTCCTCCCCTATTTTCCCTTCCCATTTAAAAATTTTCTTCCTATTTCACAGTATCTCTTATCCATTGTGGTCCTTATTTACACTTCCAGTTTTTCACACCAGAGAAAGGATGTGGTATTTACATGTGTGGCTCATTTATTTCACTTAAGAGTACGGTTTCAAGGTGCATCCATTTACCTAGAAATGTCTCCAGTTTATCTTTCTTTAAGACAGTAGTACCCTGTTGTATAAAAAAATCCCACATAATCTTTATCCATTCATTGGTTGATCGGCATTTGGGTTGTTTCCAAGATTTAGCTATTATGAATTATGTTGCTGTAAACATGGATGTGCATATATCACTGTGGTATGATGTTTTTAATTCTTTCAGGATGATAGCAAAAAGCAATAGCTGGGTTGAATAGAACCTCTTGTTTTAGCTTTTTGAGGAATCTCCACACTGATTTCCACAGTGTTTGCTCCAGTCTACATTCCCAGCAAGAGTTGAAAGGGGTTCTGTTTTCCCCACAACTCTGCCAGCATTTATTGTTAGTTATTTCTTGATAGCAGCCATTCTTTCTGGAGTGAGATGGAATCTCAGTGTTGTTTTAAATTACATCTCTCAAATGACCAGTAATGTTGAACATTTTTCTTACACTTATTTCCCATTTGTATTTCTTAATCTGAGAAGTGTCTGTTTATTTCAGATGCTCATTTTGTAATAATCAACTAATATTTTGACACAAAAGATGACCTTCTATTATCAGACATCCTGGCAGTGATGTAAGAATTTTAATTTTCTATGCCTTTGGCTCCTAGAAGCTGACACAGTGATTTTAAGAACCTCTTTCAATACTCTGAAAATTTAGGATAATAGATAATAATGTTTAGAAGTTTTCCACTTTTATGCCTCAGGGCCCAAAAATACTTTCATGAAGCTTCCAAGATTCTTCTCCTAAGGATGTCACCATGACATGATGTGTTTGTAGTTCAAGGAAGTGCCATATAACAAACTTGAGAAAGCTTCTGCCATGGTCAGTATAGGTTATATAGGATGCACAACGGCAGACTCAAATTTCATTCCCAATAAAGAGCCTACTAAAGTTGTTGTTCTGTAGATTTTACACTGTCCTTGGAAGAGGTTTTGTTTCCTATTCACTAATGTTGAAACTTCAATTCAGATGGACCATGTTTCCAAATGTGTCATATATATGTATATATGTGTATAAATATGATTTATATATATGAATGATTGCTCTGACCTTCTTTCTTCCCTCAGCAAATGAATTATTTATAATTCTTTTCATAAGGAGATAATCAGCTAAAGAGGTTTCTTAAAGGTGGTAAAACCAAAAAGCAAATTAGTTTTATGATTTCAAAGAACTAGCTGACTATTCATTTATTATAACGTTTTCAGACTACTTTAGAACTCTCAAAGGAAGAATAATGGTCCAGTATAGTGCTATAAAGTTGCCTTTTTGGACATAGTAAGCTGTTTTATTTTGACAGGCTCAATTGTTTTTGATTTCCTGCCACAGATATCCATCACAGAAATAGTAGATGTGATTAATAGCATTTTGCCCATTAACTAAAAGCATTTATAATGTATACCTAGAAGACATTAAGGCTTAAAAAAGCTTTAACAACTGAAAAGTCAATATCTATCACAGAAAGAGGGCTATAAAGACACTCTATAAAGAGATGAATTCTAGATTTTCTTTAATTTCAAGGAGAATGTGGATTAATAAACCCCAGGAAAATTTATGAGAAATGGTTTTCCCCACTTTAAGATGAAAATTATGTCTGGAATGTACTTACAATATATATGTCTGAAACATTTACAAGATGCTCTTCTCTTAAATAGATCATTGTAACTGTTCTATTGCTAAAAAAGTTTCCCTCTCCCCCTCCCTTTACTTTCTAATATCAAGTTAAACATTATAGGATGATGTAAAAGGGAGCACTGCAGACTTGGAAAAGCATGGCATCCAGAATAAAGTGTTTCCGTGACTAAGGAAATCACATCTCCTCCCATCATATCCAGATCCATGAAGTAAAAGTAACATTGAGAAAAAAGGAGATATGCTAACAGATTAGATTTGGGGATTATGTTTTGCAAAAGTTACGATTTTAGAAACATTTTTCCAGATGAAGCAATGTAGAAAATGCTACCCAAGCTTGAAATATTACAGGACTGAGATTGTAGCTCAGTGATAGAGTACCACTCCACATATATGAGACCTGGGTCCAATGCCCAGGACTAGACAAACATATGCACAAACAAGAAAACAAACCCAAATTGAAATGTCACTGTATAAAACATTCATTGTCCCATTAATTAGTTCAACTATGCATTCATTTATTCAACCAGCAAATATATTTTGAATCTCAGTAACCAGAAAGCCATTGAATTAAGCAAATAAGACATAACTCTGTCCTTATAGAGGGCATTTCTTGATAGATTTATTGGCCAGGTGTTTATATACTTAATATCAACTCTATGAGGTATATTTTATAAATTGTTTTTTCCTTTAATATTTGAGGAAACTGAGCACCACAGGGGTTTAACACATTGTTCAGCTTTAACACAAGCCTACAAAGCTGTGAGTTAAACTAAACCTTTCCTCTTTTTAAATTGATTGTTTTGGGCATTTTGTTATACAAAGGAAAGCAAACACAGCAGTGTTTGTACTATATTGTACCAATTTTTTCCCCTGTATACTTAGAAGTCATAGTTTAGTTGATATTCTGTTTCCTGTTGGATTATTGTTTTGTTAGGCCTCTTAACCTTCTATCTTAACAAACAGAATCATCTTCTGCATTGCACTGTAGTACCCCATGGCTTAATGTGCAATTTGACAAATATTGTACATAGATATAGCAAAAATATAGTTTCCATATTTATCACTTCAGTAACACATATGGGAAAGAGTAAGCGGAGTGTTTGTAGTACATACAGGAAAGAGAAAACAATGTGTTTTGGCCTAAGTGATTGAGAACCAATTATATTGAGAGAGAGACAGAGAGAGACAGAGAGAGACAGGAACATATGGGAAGAGAGAAATTGGTAGACTAGTCAGGTTTTGGTCAGAGTGAAAAGGAACTCAAACGTGCTGAGCAATTCCTCTTGATCCTGTAGGAAATGGGGAGCTATAAAGGACAAAAAGTACCAGTTCCACTACCAGCACCAGTGCTAGAACAGAAAAAGAAAAATGTCCATGTATGAATTTTCAGTACAGGAGCCAGAGATTTAGCTTAGCAGCACAAGCACCTGCCTGGCAAGTGAGAGGTTGCAAGTTTGATCCCTGGTACCCACCCCAAATAAAAAACAGAAAACAAAAACAAAAAACCAACAACAAAAACAACAAATTTTCAGTACACAATATCCTCAAAAGAGAAGAAAATGCTATTTTTAATCACTTAATTCACTTAAAGGAATTACCAGTTATCCACAAAGTGAATTACTGTGATCAGCAAACTTAAATGCATTGTTCTGTAATTATGTAGAATTCCTGATTCATTCTTCAGAGCTTGCCAATCACCCAGTGATTAAAGACATTAGGCCAAAACAAATCTATCTTTGCTTGAATACAAAGGAACAATATCTTTTCTTGTATAGGAACAATTACAGGAATAGCAGTTAATCCATGAAGCAAACAAAATGTTGCTATAAATCACTGTATTAATTGCTGAGTTAAAGGCCTATATCATGGTAAGTGGACAGGAATGTTGCCAAAAAGAGCCATGTGCTTAGTTGATTTGACTACTTGAGTCAAAACAGGCCTATGACAGACTCATTCGATTCGTTTGATTTTTAGCCAATTAAAACAAACCAATTCTGTGTGATTTTTGCTGTTCTTATAATATTTTTGTTCTTAGAATAGTATATATAGTTGGGATGTTATTAAAAACTGTGAATCTTTTTCCATTTCTCTCTGATTCTATTGTTCCTATACATTCTTGGACTTGTGCAGACACTGAGGTTAACTTTAATAGAATTTTAAAATTTTTCATTAAAATTATAATAAAAGTTTTTCTATGCTAATGCACCAAAAGTAGCATATTTTTATATATGTAAGTTAAGAAGAATATCTTTTAACACCCATAAATAATTTTTAATTAAGGATTACCTAGAAATTTAATGAAAATCCTATTCATGAAATTTTGGCCTACCTTTTGGAGATACTTTTGTTTCTCCTCAGCTTCCTGAATCCTTAGGGCTTCAGCAATAAAATCAGCACTCTCTAGAGGAAATAAAGCCTGACTCAGTCTAAAATTATTTTATCATGATTTTGTGATAGCATTGATATAAAATTGGGTAAAGGTTAAAAGTGTAGGGAGGTAAACACAAATGCATACGATGTCATGAAATCTTACAACTGGATTCATAAATAATTGCAAACAATTAATTAGCAATAGCAGGAGGGACCCTCTAACCTGTTTAGATTATAAGTAAACCTCAACAGAGACAAGAAAATGTCTTTAAAGGAAACATAAGTATAGAATCAGAGATTCTAATGTCTACGTTTGCATTCGACCTATTACAGAAATTTAAGGATTGTTCTATGGATAACCTAGTGTGATCCCTAGGCAAGATCTTATGTGTGCAATTCAGAATATTATGCCAAAAGGTAGAGTTGTACCTTTGTATTTATTAACTCTTTTCTGAAAAACCTAGGAATTCAGATGTTGAAAGGCATTAATCTTGGTACTTACCGTTCGTCTCAAAAGGAGGCTGAATGCCACTTTTCTCTTAGATGTAGAAAGGGGAAGAAAAGACAAGACATAACATTAATGCCATTTGAACTTTCTATACCTATTAACATAACAGTTTTCACATCCCAGATCTCCTTAAGGGGTTAGCAGTCAAGGAGCTGGGTTCCTAAAGTTAATTTGCCTTCCATTTTCTCTAGGGCAAGTTTTAACTCAATTACGTAAACTACTGTCCTTAATGTCCGGCATATACCATTTTCCTTAAATTGATTATTCCACAGTTTCCCAAATAAATATAATTTAAGGGACATGTAAGGTGTATTTTTAGACAGAAATACCTCTACTCTTTTTTTTTTTTTTTGAGGGTGAAGGATTGCTGAAAAGGTTCAGGAATGTTTACACAGAATGTGTTTGTGCTATTACTATTAGTGTGTACCTTTCAGACATTTGAGGCTTATTTTAGATTTAGGTTAGGCAGTTTCTTCCAGGAGATCTAGTATCTTTCCAGTTGATTGTAACGCAGGAGAAATTAGCCACCAGGGGGTAGCTGTTTTTTACGTACCTGAGCCAGTAGTACCCTTAGAGCACCCTGCAACAGGCAAACGCTGACTGCTGGCTTTTGTCAGCACCAGCTGAGATTCGTTAGTGGGATACATCGACGCTCTGAGCCAGAACTGCTTAGCCAAGTTGTAATCTTGTTCCGAGCAGCCAGCAAACACTAGTAATCCTGGAGGGCAAATTTCAGTGTTGTGTGTTTCAAAGTTGATGTGGGAGCTGGGCCCCGTTTCCATGGCAACTAGGACGCTTCTCTACGCTCCTTCGCCCCTCCTTTCAGCTCAGTTCCAAGAAGCTAGAAGCTGTGGCGGGAGGGTAACAGCCACCGCCGGAGGCCCATAGTTTCTTCTATAGGTGTTGGGGTTACCACACGCTGAAGCCCAGTTCGGTGCTGTCAGCAGGTGCAGGGCTGGCTCCGTTTTGGAGTTTGAGCCTTGGAGTCCATGGGCGGGTCCAAACAACTTTCCGCTCCTCCTGTCAGAGTTAGTGGGGGCGCACTTTAGCATCTTATACAACTTCAGCCTTTCATTTGCTCCCACACCCACCAAAAGATATTTGAACAAACTTTAAATTTCTTGGCTCCATGGCCTCAGTATCACCTTCCACACAGGTCTGTGGCTCAGCACTCACTAGTGTGGATATTCTGAGTCCTGTAATCAAGGAATTCAAGGAAGCCCAGAGGAGCCAGAGGTTGGAACTGGTCCTATAGGTACTTATGTATATAGTTTGATCCCTTCTCCCTCTCATCTTTTATAATAAATCTTAGAACAAGCTGCATTTAAATTGTAACTGCATTTAGTAATCATTTCTACCAAAAGTTGCGTACAGTGCAAAAGTTTTAAATGATTACTTAAAATGATATATCTAATGAGTGCATGGAATTCTTTTGTGAAAAACTTTACTGCTGCATACTTATAGTAGCATTAACAAGTGTGAATGGCTTTCCCAGATTTTTTAAAATTTAGGAAAAATTTAACCATTTCAGAGACTTTAAAAAAATTGTGATTGCTGTGGCAGGAACTATGATGGCCACCATGAAGCCAATTGAAAGGAGCTGGACACATGGCAATAGCCACAATTGATGTCTGCATTGCACTTTATTTTTTCAAAATATCACTAACAATATCACAGAAAGTTCAAAGACTGACAATCACAGGTTTTTATTACATATCATGTTAGCTTAGGAAAAATTTACATTCTCCTAATATATCTAAAAATTATTTTGGTTAAGACCCTGAAGGAATATTGAAAAATAAATACACGTATATTTAAACAGCTAAATGTTGGCTTTTCTCTTGGCTGAGCAAGTAATAGACAAGAGGATAGTATCAGCATATTCTGAAAGCCCTCTCCCACACACTAATGTTAAATAAGCGGCCCACTTCGATGAATCTCAGTCTTTTTACCTGGCCGTGTGGTTAGTGATTGGTACTATTAGCAATCAGCTAACTACACTGCCTAGTAACTAGACTAAACGAAAACAAAGCACAAAAACCCCCAAACTGCATCCGCAAGCTGGTGCCTCCATACGTAGTGATGGGCAAATCGTGGGCTAAGTTGGCGTCTTGGTGACTCCTAACTAGTAAGAAATAAGCATAAGCTCCCCGCAGCGCGCGGCAGTGACTGTTACAAAGGAGCTTTTCGCTTAGCTTTCTCGCACGGCTCCTAGAGGAGACCGAAGCGCTCGGCCGCGTCCGGGCCAGCAGGCGGCGGGGTCCGGGGTTTACTCTCACTCTGACAACGTGCTCGTGACAAACGCTGACGCAGCACCGCTCCCGGCGCAGCCTCGTCCTCCCGGACTCCGCAGGGCGGAGACGATGCTGTGCCTTGTTTTGATGGCAGTGGAGTTAGTGATTGTAAGCACAACAGCACAATCAGCTAATTACACTGCCTACAAACCGAGCACCGGCGCCCCCGCGGCAGCTCCCGGCAGCTCTGCGGAGTCAAGGTGGCGCCCCGCGCGGGCGGGCGGGCGGGCCGCGGTCTGGACCCCAGCCGACCCCAGCTGCCGCGGACGCCCGCCCGTGGGGTGGCGGTGCGGGGCGCGGGGCCCTGGGCGCACTCTCCCCAGGACGCCTCCGGGCTCCTGGGCACCCCGCCCGGCCGCGCCCGCCACCGGCGAGGAAACCAACGGCCAGGGGCGGCGCGGCCCGAGGTCCCGCATCCCGGGCGGCGCCCCGACCCCGGGCGACCCCGGAGCGCAGCGCCCCTCCCCGCCGCCCCCGCACTCCCAGGGCCCACGCCTCAGGTCCCCTGTCCCCTTCGCCTCTTCCTCCACGCCAGGTATGGCTCGCCTCAAAAAACTTGTTTAGTTCCCAGCCCAAACCCTCGAGTCACCCTCTCAACCCGGCGCAGCTCCCAGTGGCCGTGGCCGTGGCCGTGACCGTGCCGGCCAACCGCCCTGGAACCCCGCGGGCCGAGGGGGCGGGGCGGCGCGAGCGGGGGCGGGCGCGGGGGCGGGCGCGGGGAGGCCTGGGCGCCCCGGGGGGCCGGGGCCGAGGCGTAGGGGTGCGGGCCCCGTGCTGGACAGCGTCCCCGCCCGGTGTAGCTGGGGCGGGAGCTGCTTCCCTCCCCCGCAGTCCTCAAGGAGCCCCACATGTGTCCCCTCCCCCAATTCGCATGCCAGTCTTCACCCCAGTTTCCATGTTCTGCTCAGGGAACCGAGCTTCCCAGGTACTGCAGACGAAGGGTTGGGCTTCACAGAGAAGCAGGCCTCCAAGGCCTCTGCGTGCCCTTGAGAGACCCATCGGCACCCGTGTTCCTAGGTCTTTTGTGCTTACTGTCTTGGAAACCTGCCTGGGCAATGCGGGCTGAATCTTCTAGTCATAGCGGGCCAGCCAGGTGGTCGGTTGGAGCAAAGTGTGGTCCTCTTGAGATTAAAGCTGCAGCTCTTAGTCTCGAGGTCGGCCTTAGGCAAAACGATTCCGATTCCTACTTCCTGCACATATTTAGTATATGGTCAGCACCTAAGGACATTTATTCTACTCTTTATTACTACAGTCTAAGACAGTGCTATCAAGTGATGACCATTATTTACCACTCAAGACAACATGTAAAAATTACTAAATTGGGTGTGCTCTATTAGGAGAAATAGAAGGAGGGTTGTCAGAAAAGGTTCCTCCAGATGAGATTTGAGTAGGTCCTTGAAGGAAAAGTAGAGTCAGATATTCAGGGTGAGGTCCGTGAAGGTCTGGGAAACAATGGCTTGTGACAAATTTTTCTTAGTTTTACAACTGATGATGTGGTTGTGTTTGTATTTGGAATAAAATGGCCAAAGGGGACAATTACAGATGATTGCTGGGTGAACCCTGGCAATCATTCTTTCCTTTACTTAGCTTGCTTTCTCTTCTTTTCCTTTAATAGAAGAGTGAGGAGGAGGTATTTTCTGATTACCCTCTAGGATTCAGTTGGAAATAGTTCCCTTCCCCAAGAATAGAGTCATGGTTCACCCAGTTTTGAGCATTCATTGTTGACCCTTAAAACTTAGTTCTAAATTATTTTCCATAAAGGAAAACTTACTAACTATAGGTTGATTCCCTAAAACCAACACATAATTTCAAAGATACTGCTAGTAACAGGATAGGGGCAAGACCTTCCAGACCATTCTATTTCCACAAACTATTAATGCGAGAAGATGAGTTTGAGTAGGTTGACAGAACTAGTTTTGGATATGAAAAATAGAGCATATTTTTACCAAAGGCATAGATTGTTCTGCACACACCGAAGTGAAGAGTAAAAAATCAAAGTGAAGTAGAAAATATTAATTTAAAAATTAAATTGTAAAGGACAGATCGTTTGCAAATAACTATTCATCTTACATATTTGGCATAATGTTGTAACATATATAAGTTACTCACACTCATTCAAATATACATATGTAGGGGGCTGGGAATATAACTCAGCCAGACAGTGCATGCCTGGCAGGTGCAAGGTCCTGGTTCCATTCCTGGTTCCATAAAAAAACAAAATCCCCAAATATACATATGCAAATAAAACAAGCAGTGAAACAGCCTTTATCCATAAATAAAATGCAGACCTTTAAATTTCATGATCATTCAGAAGCAATAGTGCTCTTTCAAATTGTTAGTCATTTTTAGCCAATAAAATATCGGATGCTTTTTTCTATTTGATTTTTTTATTATTAGTTACATCTTAAATAATCTTACCTGAGCTGGATTGCTGCCATCCAGAGCAGTGCCTTGGTGCCTTGAAAGTTAGATTTTTAAAATTTTCTTCAAAGTTAATGAAAAGCAAACATACATAAAAGTCATCAAGATGCACAGTCTACTGAAATAATTTTTTTAAAATGCACTTTATTTTGTATGTAGTGCAACTGAAAATGTCAAAAAGTGTGTATGGCCTAGTTCTGTTTGGAAAAAAAAGAGAATGCTTGTTCTTATGATTGCTGTTGATTTGGCCTGCAGTTACTAGAGAAACTCCAAGGGTCTCCATGCCTTTATGGTTCATGTCTAGGCATGCCTGGAGGCCAGGGCGACGCATGACTTAATCTAAGTAAGAATGCTCCTGGTGTTAAAAATGCCCCAACGGAACATTGCATTTGTTTTAGACACACCAGGAAGGGCCCTTTCAGGAGAATTGTTTACCGTTTTAATTTCTAGGCTTTTGGTGATCAGGGAGATGAAGAGGAAGTTCTAAGGAGATGAGGTGAGGCTGGTGATTAGGGGAAACAAAGGCAACTATCAAAAACAAATGTCTCTACTTTAGCTGTGGAAAATGCATATTGGCTTAATTTACCATTTCTAGATAAAAGACAAAATTGAAAGGAGTTGGGAATAACAAATGGTGGAAAAAATGCACTCCTTCCCTTCGAGACACACAAATGCACCATCTGAACATCTGCTGTCCTCTGGGACTTTTGAAGGGTGTCCCGAGACAGAAGTGAAGAGTGAGACTGATTAGAAATTACTGTATCGGACTTCAGCAGCTTCAGAGAAACCCTGTTTTAAGTGGGTATTTCCCCTTGGAAAACATAAAGCCACATTTTGGTTTTTATGTAGCTCATCAAATGTCAGATTAATTTATTAACATTCATGATAATATACTAATACTAGTAGTTTGTATGTTGGAGCAACATTAAGTTGAAGTTGATTTAGTGTGTTTGAAAAGCTGAAAACAAGTGAATCTCTTTAGTCATGAGAGGAGATTTTTATTTGAACTAAAATGAATTGCCAGCAGTTTTTATAATTCTGTATTTCTGTTCCATTTCATTGTACACTCATTAGGATGAGTACAGCCTATTGTTAATTAGCTTCTTGTTTATATTTATCAATCAGTATTGTTGCTCTCAGTATAAAAATGTTAGCTTATTTTTTAGGTAAATCAGAAAGACTAACAAAATAAGCTTCATAATTATGTTTGATGGAGCTCTTATGGCATCAGCATGGAAGCAAATGTCTTGGGCTATTTTCTATCTTTACAGAACATGGCGTCCAGGGGTTATAACCTAGTTGTACAGACAGACAATTTGTATACATAAACAATATTGTCATCTTATGTTAATCATATTAATATAATATATATAGATTAATAACACTATTATGTGCAAATGAAATATTGACTATATATTATATCATACAGAAATATATGAAGTACCAAAGAAATTAGGTTAATAGGTGTTTCCGGAGCCCTAAATATTAATGTAAGTGTTGTATGGTCAGCATTGAAGTAAAAAGATAAGGAGTATTGCCGAGGATCAGGACAGAGAGAAGACTACATGGGAAAGGGCACTGAGCTGATTCTACATGGAAAAGTGAAAGTACAACACGGGTGAAGAAAGGTGTTTTGGAAGCAGGAAGCAAAAACACAAACAAATTCTTGGAGATGATAACATGCATGGCCAGTTGAGAGAGCCGTGAATGGCCCGCTGTCATGCCTTAGGGAAATAAGATTATAAAGGCAGGTAAGTAGGAGAGAGGTCATGGAAGACTCTAAAATATTAGTCTAGGAAATTTGACTTCCATACTGCTGCTGTGACAGCCTCCTGCCCTGTATATAATGTGCTTATTGTCTTATGCTGAATATCTTTTTACCCTTCTTTCCCTCTTTAGCAGTGGCATGAATTTGCAAATGGTAGATGAGCCTAGAGATGTTATATCTTATTTAAGAAAGGCTTATATCTTATTTAAGCCTAGAGATGTTATACCTTATTTAAGGAAGGCTGAAGACTTCAAATAGGGCTGATTATAAGACTACTCATTACATCAAAGTCCTGCAAATTTGATGTTCAATTTAGATGATGTTTTAAAATTAATTTGCCTATTTTTAAAGTTATATGTTCACTCTATAAATGAAGTATAGCTAAAGCTAAAAGACTAGTGTAGAAGTGTAGACACTTTGTTTATTTTGTTGATAAACTTAGGGGCTCAACAATCCCTTGGTGATCAAGTTGAACTTTCCCATTTTAAAGTGAAGACGTGCGGTTCTGGAGACTGTTATGTGCACAAGGTAATTTCAGTAAATTTTCATGTTTTATTCCATTTGTCCTGCTTCAGGCGTAAGGTAAGATATACCTTTGATACTTCCTTCCTTCCTGCTGTTCGTCGGAAGTACAAACGGCCAGAAGCTTCATGTCCCTGTTTCTCTGATGCCTCCCCCAGGATTAATATCCTTACCCAGCCTCTGTAGACAGAACATGATCTTGGACACCTCATCTGATCTTTCCAAAAAGAAATCCTTAAAAGACAATGTCTTAAACCAGGGAATAAATGTCTTATGGTGGGAATTTTAGACATTACATAAGAACAATGGAAGAGATATTTTTTGTCCTTCCCATTTTAGCATTTTCCTTTCTACTTAAATATGAGGTTGCATTAGGCTGCGTCAGTATGGATTGTCGGCTGAATTCTGTGCCCTTCTCTCTCTCCCTCCTTCCCTCCCTCCCTCTTTTTTTTTTTTGAGAGAGGGTCTCACTGCATAGTCCAGGCTGGCCTTGAACTTGTGATGCTTTTATCTTGACCTCGCAAGGGTTGGCCTTCTGCTAAGTTCTAATGTCTGTTTGATAGACATTACTCTTGGATGCCTAATTGCCACAGAAAATTCAATATGCTTTAGTCTGAGCTCACCGTCATTTGCTTTATACTGGTTCTTCTACTGAATGCCTTCATTATTTCAATAACATTCTTCCTTTTGACACTACTGCTTGAAACTTGGAGTGATTTTTTAGTATCCCATTTCTCAAACCCTGCACTCAAAACAGTCATGTGCATATATATCTGATTTCTCTCTCAAGACTATAAACTTCTTGAAAGGAAAAGTTGAAGTTTGTTCTGTGCTGTATTTCCATAGCAGTGTCTAATGGTAGTAGGTGGTCGCTAAGCAGTCACTAAGCCAATGTTAATTACACCAGATGGCTATTAATGTAAAGGATTCAGGTGTCTGAAGTCATAATAAACAAGGAACTGAA